TTTCTGTTAGGTTGTCCATTTTATTGGTATATAGTTGCTCAGAGTAGTCTCTTATGGTTCTTTGTGTTTCTGTGGTCTTGGGTATAAGTTCTCCTTTTTCATTTCTGATTTTATTAATTTGGACCCTCTCCCCCTTTTGTTTATGAATCTGTCTAAAGGTTTATCAGTTTTGTTTACCTTTTCAAGGAACCAGTTTTTAATTTCCTTGATCTTTTCTTCTTTTTATAAGTCTCTATTTAATTTATTTCTGCTCTGATCTTTATGATTTCTTACCTTCCACTAACTTTGGGTTCTGTTTGTTCTTCTTCCTCTAGTTCCTTTAGGCATAAGTTTAGGTTGTTTATTTGAGATTTTTCTTGTTTCCTGAAGTAATATTGTATTGCTATCAACTTAAAATAGATTAAATACCTAAATGTAAGCCCAGATACTATAAAAATCCTAGAGGAAAACATACAGACACTCTGTAATATAAATGGCAGCAATATTTTTTTGGATCTGTCTCCCAAGGTAAAGGAAATAAAAGCAAAAATAAACAATGGGACATAATTAAACTTGAAAGCTTTTGCACAGCAAAGGAAACCATCAACAAAACAAGAAGACAACCTACTGACTTGGAGAAAATATTTGCAAATGATATGACTGATAAGGGATTAATATCCAACATATATAAACAGCTCATACAACTCAATGTCAAAAAAAAAAAAACCCAATTAAAAAATGGGCAGAAGAACTGAATAGACATTTTTCCAAGAGGAAATGCAGAGGGCCAACAGACACATGAAAAGATGCTCAACATCACTAATCATTAAGGAAATACAAATCAAAACCAAAATTAGATATCACCTCACATCTGTTAGAATGACTATCATCAAAAAGAACACAAATAACAAATGTTGACCAGGATGTAGAGAAAAGGGAACCCTCATACACTGTTGGTGGGAATGTAAGTTGGTGCAGCCACTGTGGAAAACAGTATGGAGGTTTCTCAAAAAACTAAAAATAGAACCACTGTATGACTCAGCAGTTCCATCCCTGGGTATATAGACAAAAAGATAAAAATAAAAATACTAATTCAAAAAGAATGTTCATAGCAACATTATTTACAACAGCCAAGATATGGAATCAACCTGAGTGTCCATCAACTGATGAATGGATAAAGAAGATGTGATATACAATAGAATACTACTCAGTCATAAAAAGAATGAAATTTTGCCATTTGCAGCAACACAGATGGATCTGGATGGTATTATGCTAAGTGACATAAGTCAGACAGAGAAAAGACAAATACTATATGGTATCACTTACATGTGGAATCTAAAAAATACTACAAACTAGTGATTATAACAAAAAAGAAGTATACTCACAGATATAAAGAACAAACTAGTGGTTACCAGCAGGGAGAGGGAAGCGGGGAAGGGGATTATAAGGGTGGGGGAGCGGGAGGCACCAACTATTGGATGTAAGATAGTCTCAAGGATGTATGTACAGCTTGGGGAATAGAGCCAATATTCTGTAATAACTATAAATGGAAATTAACCTTTAAAAATTGTATAAAAATATTTTTGAAAAAGAATACTATACAGCAATAAAAAAGAAATGAAGTACTTATACACATAAAAACATGAGTGAATCCTAAAATAACTTTGTTGAATGACAAAAATCAAACCGAAAAAGAATACATGCGCTATGATTTCATTTACTACAAAATTCTGGAAAATACCCTCAAATCTTTAATGATAGAAACCAAATTAGTGATTGCCTGAAGATGGTAGGGGTGGAAGGAGTGGATAGTATCTAGAGGGAGATATTAAAGGGGCATGAGAACACTTGGGGGGAAATGGATGCTTATTTTATTGATTTTGGTTATGGTTCAATGGGTATATATACATGTGAAAACCTCAAATTTTACACTTAGATGTGTGCAGTTATTGTGTGTCAATTATACCTCAATAAAACTTTTAAACCAGAAAAAAAGAAAAGAAAACTGTCCATTGTCAAAATGCTAAAAAGAAAAAAAGTGTCAAACAACAAAGCAGAATCAGGCTTCCACACAGGCTCAGCTGACTCCAAGCTCTGGGAATACCCAGGGCTCATTTGTTATTGATACCTGAAAATAGTTTATTTCTAATGAAAAACTGTTGAAACTCTACTTTTCTATAGAGATGACATGATGACAAATCCTAAGAATAAGAAAAAGGTCGCCACCGAATAATTTACGCTAACATGCATCCTTGTTAGCGTGCACGTATATACATGCCTGCCAGCTAGCCCTGTTCAGCCCGGCTTATATACGTAAGTTATGTTTTTTTCTGCATACATACTTTTAAAATCAAGCTATCTCCTAAGTTTCACATTACAAAATGTTTATTTTTACATTTTAAAAAGTTGTAAGTACAGACTTATTCTATTTTAGGAAAAACAAAAAACAATCTTCCATACACCACAGTTTCACTGAGTTGTGAATCTCACAAGAGCTGTGATGTTCCACTTGTACACATATTTGGAAACCTCCCTAGAAGAGACCATGACATTACTGTGATTTTGAAACACTGTTTATACCTTAACAAAAGCAAATATCATGGACTAACTATTTGAGAGCACAAGACTTTAAAAGACTTCTGGGCCTCAACTGTCCAGTGTAAATTATGCCCTGGAGAGGGAGGGGCACACATTTCCTCACCTTTGTGGTTGAAGGACCCCATTAGTCAGATTTCAGGAGCTCATGCTACCTGACAAATGAGCTCGAAAACGCAGAGCTTCACCACGGTAACTATTTATTTTCACACTAGACACAGCAGCTGCAGGTAGGCTGCTGCATCTTTGCTTCTGGCTGTGAGTCAGGATCAGGACTGCTCTGCCTCCTTTTTATTCTGGGAATCAGGCTGCAGGAATGGCCTTGCTTGAGGCATGGTAGAGAACATGAGATAAAGCTGAAATGTGCTGCTTCTAGAAGCTTCTGCTGCTAACTGCCTGTGCAGCAGGAGTGGAATTTCACCTTGGCCAAAACAAGTCGCCAGTAGTGTATCAGGAAAGGGAGGCATGATGCTATTGTAAGGAGAGGAGGGAGTAAAAAAATTGGGGAAAATAATTCCATCTACCACTGGAGGAAAATTCTTGGAAATAGTAACATACATCATTTAATATTCATGGGATGTCAGTCAGACTCAGCATACTGGTCCCTATTTCACAGATCAAGGAGCAGAGTCTCAAGTATGTTAAGAGTCTTGTTAAATGCCAGGGTCTCCAGCTTCATATCTCCCATCTCCATAATTCTTATGTTCTTCCTAGTACACCATAAAGTAGACAGGATACACATTTTTTGTATTCCTTTTAGTACTTAGCACAGTTGCTGGCTTATGAGGTTGACTGATTAGATTTTATGAAATATAGCTCATTCATTCATTTATTCATCAAATATTTACTGACAATTTCTCTTGAGTCAGGTACTATGCTAGACGCTGAGGCTACATCTGTGAATAAGACAGAAACATGCTTTGCCTTCCTTGGGTTTATGTGAAAGGGGAAATATTCCATTTTTAAAATACAGGGTTTTATCACATTTGCTCATAATTTAAAATTTCCCAATGGATTTACGTTAACATAAGTCTATTTACCAACAGTGAGGATTGGGAGTGTCACCTATCATTGTATTATAGAGAGTGATGAGCTTGGGTAAGAAGAAAACATAGAACCTGAGTCTTATGAAAAGAGCATCATGTGTTAGGATCCTTGGGGGTTCATCCTGCAGAGTCATTTCCTAATGTTTCCCTCTGTCATTCCAGCCCATTCTCTCTGAACCTTTGATGTTTTCATCTTTCCAGGAAAAGGTGATTAGTATTTACTTTCAGACCCTTATACTTAAAACGGAAGATTGATGATCAGTAAAGTAGTCAAATGTTGGCTAGGTTTGCCTAGAAATCTCTTGTGTGAGACAGCCCAAATCGATGGCTCAGAGCCAAGTGGAAACTCAAGTACCAGTCATGGCCTTGTGACGAACGTGCCCCAGGGTTCCCAGCTCCATCGTGGAACCTGTAAATCAGGAGGTATAAAGTGGATGGAGCACTTGTTAAGAGTTCTTAGGTATTATTGCTGAGGAGTATGGGTAAAACAGAAATTGTCTTTGTGGTTTCTACCCTTTTCTACCTCTTTTGCTCTTTCTTTGTACTACACATTTGCTCTTTGCTTTCTGCATATTTCTTTTTACTATACATTTGACTCCACACTTTTTGCATATATCACCTTTCACAGCCTTCTTGTCTACCTCATAAAACTGTCAAGGAACTGTTTCCTATCTCAATAATGGAACAAATATTCATTGAGAACCGATATAAGGTAGGCACTCTGGAAAACACGGGTCAGCCGAAAGAGACACTGCTTGGTCTCAGTTGATGTCCTTCAACTGTCTCTATGCTACCTTCCAATTTTTCTAGGATAAACTCTTATAGATATTCTAGAAATAAGTTGTTCCCCACTACATGTGGTTCTGATGCTCATTAGTTAAGCCAGTCATGTTCGAAAATTCTAGTAGGAATATTTCTAAAAAATATTCAAACTAAGATAAAAATGACTAATAAAGAAAAATTTCATTTCAAACCTTGAGAAGCGAAGTCACAGTCTTATATCTAAAATCCAGAATTTCAGGCAACCTTGAATGAGTTAGGAGGATTTGAGAAAGAGGAAGGGGCAGCAAGATAGCCTGAAATTGCATTGCCCCAGTATCCCCTGTGTCACCTGTGTACATTTACATATATTTGCATCCACTCCCATCTTTTCCTCTTGTTTTAGAGGAAACATTCCCTCTCCTCATATCCAAGGTTAAGTCCTCCAGAACACACACCAGGCCAGCCACTCCATGGAGGTAACACAACATTAACATTTCCTTTTTGCCTGGGCCATCTCTTTATCTATAAGAATGTAAATAGGACCAATCACCATCATTTTTTAAAAATATAGCCCATAAAAAAAAGCAATCTCACTGATGTCTACACCCCTATTCTCAGTATCTTCCCATCACAGCCAGCCTTTGATCAACTGCAGCCAGCCCCCTGCAGCTTTCCTCTGGCCTCTACTCCTCCAGAAAGTCCTTACCGACATCAACCATGGTTCTGCTTTCGGACCTTCGCCCTTTCCCACAGAAGCAGACAGGAGAAGAGGTAAGTGTCAGATACTCTAGTATTAGAAGAAAGTACCTGAAGCTGCCTTGATGTAAGGCCAAAAGTTTTTATGTTCTATATTTTACCTGAAAATTAAGTGGAACATCTGCATTACTTTTACACTTATATCAATGTTTACTTAAATATAAAGATGATTCAGACTTGTATAATTATGTCGATTGAAAAAGAGACACAACCTAAAAGTTGAGAACTATGTTGTATTTGGTGGACTTGCTGAAGACTTCAAGCCCGGGACACAGCATCTCAGAGAGCTCTGAGGGACTTCTCTGAAGAGATCAGGGAGGAGCCAGGATACATAGGAGTTTTGCAACAAAAACCAGGTCATTGGAACATCAAAATATTACTGTTAATTAAAGAAAACCAAACATCTCTAGTTAAAGAATTCAGCGCTTTTCTATGTATGGGAAGATGCAAGAGTCTGGGCTAATCAAAATCATTCCTTTGATATGCACCTCAGCTCTCTAGGGCCAATATCCTGCTTTTCTTCATCCTGAATCCCTTCAGGGTGCACAGCTCGGGGTGGCTGCTGGCTTGATGGCTGCAACATCCTTTGTTTACTAATATGGCAGGCAACATTTTTCATTCACATTGGAAAAGTGATGTTAAAATTTATTCATCATATCTAAAAATACATTTTGAAGGCCTACTCTGAGTACTCCCCTTGGGGACTGAATAAGAGCAAACACCAACCTGGTCTGGCCTTCATGAAGCTTATAGTCAATAAGAGGGACAGAAATTAATTACACAAATGTAAAATTACGACATTTGTAAGTACATAGAGTGCTGTATAAGCAGTGTTGATCAGATTTTAAGTGTCCTTGATGGCAGGTTCTGTGCACTAAAGAGTATCAATTTGATGCTTTTTTAGAATATAATTTGATATTACGTATTAAGCTTTTTAAGTTCAGCTTTCAAATTTTATTCTATTTATAAATCTAGCTAATTTTAAGCATAGTTTTAAGTACAGCCTTGATTGTTTGGTTTCATTTATAAACTTTATTTAAACTCATCTGAACATTTTAAGCTGTCAACTGAAAAAACAAAAGCATGACGTGAGAGTTGTGAGTTAAGTTTTATTTGGGGCAAAATGAGGACTATAGTCTGGGAGACAGCATTTCACATAGCTCTGAGGAACTGCTCCAAAGTGGTTGGGGGGAAGGTCAGTATATATGTGATTTTAGTGAAGGGGGAGTACATGCAATCAAGCACATATTTTTTGCAGAAGGTTTCTGCTAGCCTTGTGAAGGTTACTGCTTTTCACGAGGAGCAGCTGTCACCATGAAAGATTTTAGTGCTTTTCTAGATATGAGGAGATGCAAGAATTGGACTCATAAAATTGTCTCCTGAAAATATCTAACTATCTGAAGACCTGTTCTGCCAGTTTTTCCCAGAGCACAGAGTGCCTCATTTCTGCTCTCCACCCTTAGCTCCTTTCAGGGGGTGTTGAAGGTCAGCAGCTCTACAGCAGCTCATAATTTAATCCTTATAGAGATACATGGCTAGTGCTAATTTGTAGGTGACAAAGCACAATTTATGGTTATCATATTCTACTTCCTTTTAAAGTATCTCAATTGTATAACCAACAGAACTGTAAATAAAATCTATAAGCACTGAATATTTTTGGAAAAATATAACAAAAGAGCCTATAATGCAGTGAACCTTATGTTTTCTTAAATGTTTTGATATTAAATATACATTTAACACAATTTAATCTTAAAATCCTGAGTCTAAATCAATATTCAATGATACCTTTTAAACTGATGCCACAAGTCTGGCTTATTACACAAGTCCGGTTGAATGTTCTGAGATATTATAAGTACATAAAAATATGTCCGTATTTATTCTTTTAATAGTTTGTTGCCTAAAATTAATACATTCATTTGTAACTATATTCAACTATTTCTATGGCATTTACAGGGAGAAAAGTCATCCCTATGGATAACTGGCAGAGCTACTGATATAACTTTAATGCCTCACCAGAATGTCAATGCTCTGGCTCTTTACCTACCATGTAACAAACACTCCAGAAACCTCATCAGCTACCCATATTTCCTTCTTTGTCTATATTTGTCTATAGAATATATATATGTATGTATAACTGAATCACTGTGCTGTACACCTGAAAATAACACAATATTGTAACTCAACTATACTTCTATATATATATATATATATAATTTGTATATTTTAATTAATTTCTTATTTTTTATACTATTTCTTTATCAATGTATAATTTTCCTTATATCCTTTATAATTTTCTTTATCAAAATTATATACTTGTCCTGCAGATTTGCCTTAATAATTCTGTCTGTATTTTGCAGAATATTTAGACAATATCTCAACAAAACAAGAAAAAGCAGGCTGTTGAGATAGATGGAGAGCGTAGGGTGCAATACCACATGGAAGAAAGTCATTCAGAGCAAGTGATCTAGAAATCTGCCTAGGAACTCCCCTCAATATTTCGATCCAGATGTTAACTGTGCACGGCTATGGGAGATGATGTGAGGTCTGCAGAAAGACAACCAGCACGGGAGCTATGAGCTGAACAGAGTTAGACGCCTCACATGTCAGGAAATGTGAGATTTCCAAAGACCCAGAGTGGAGAGAACACAGTGAACAACTCAGACATTTAACTGCATCCTCAGGATGGTCACTGATGAGAAGGAAGTAGGCTCTGGACCAGGAGTGATGTATACTCTAGAAACTAACAAGCAACTGCCTTCCAGAACCAAAGCCAACACACCCGTCATCTTGAAAGGAAAATAAAAATAGGCTCCTAACAATCTAAACCTTGTAAATTACTGGACATGAGAAGAAGCAGTAAAAGGTGAGCCTGTAGCAGGCAATGGCTTTAAAACATTTATTAAGATATGTTTAAAACATAAAGAAGATTATATATATTATATAATTACATCATTATGTATATATGTGTGTGCGTGTATATATTGGGTGGGCCAAAATGTTCTTTTGTTTTTTTTCCGTAAGATGGCTCTAGTAGTGCTTAGTTGTGTTTAGCTTCATTTGAAAAAATTTTGTTAGACTGTATTGTGACAGCTGTCATATCAGCGTGCATTAAAAAAAAAAACTTATCAAAATTGGTGAATTTTTGTGTAGCCATTTTAATAATGAAGATGGAAGAAAACACCCAACATTTTCAGCATATTATGCTTTATGATTTTAAGAAAGGTAAAAATGCAACTGAAATGAAAAAAAACAAGATTTGTGCAGTGCATGGAGAAGGTGCCATGACAGATTGAACATGTCAAAAATGGTTTGAGAAGGTTCATGCTGGAGATTTCTCACTGGACGATGCTCCAGTGTAGGGTAGACAAGTTGAAGATGATAGCGATCCAATCGAGACACTAATTGAGAACAATCAACGTTATACCATGCGGGAGGATAGCCGACATACTCAAAATATCCCAATCAATCACTGAAAATCATTTGCACCAGCTTGGTTATGTTAATCCCTTTGATGTTTGGCTTCCACATAAATTAAGTGAAAAAACCTTCTTGACCGTATTTCCACATGCGATTCTCTACTTAAATGTAAAGCAAACGTTCCGTTTTTCAAACAAATTGTGACGGGCGATGAAAAGTGGATACTGTACAGTAATGTAGAACGGAAGAGATCGTAGGGCAAGTGAAATGAACCACCGCCAACCACACCAAAGGCCGGTCTTCATCTAAAGAAGGTGATGTTGTGTTTATGGTGGGATTGGAAGGGAGTCCTCTATTATGAGCTCCTTCTGGAAAACGAAACGATTAATTCCAACAAGTACTGCTCCCAATTAGACCAATTGAAAGTGGCACTCAACGAAAAGTGTCTGGAATTAGTCAACAGAAAATGCATAATCTTCCATGAAGATAACGCAAGACCACATGTTTCTTTGATGACAAGGCAAAAGCTGTTACAGCTTGGCTGGGAAGTTCTGATTCATCTGCTGTATTCACCAGACATTGCACCTTCGGATTTCCATTTATTTCAGTCTTTACAAAATTCTCTTAATGGAAAAAAATTTCAATTCCCTGGAAGACTGTAAAATGCACCTGGAACAGTTCTTTGCTCAAAAAGATAAAAAGTTTTGGAAGATGGAATTATGAACTTGCCCGAAAAATGGCAGAAGGTAGTAGAGCAAAAGGGTGAATAGGTTATTCAATAAAGTTCTCTGTGAAAATGAAAAATGTGTCCTTTATTTTTACTTAAAAACAAAAGGCACTTTTTGGCCAACCCGAAATACACACACACACACACACACACACATATATCTCAAGTGAAAAGATGAGGAATTTAAGTACAACCATGGAAGCTATAACAATGGACCACATGCAAGTTCTCAAACTGAAAACATAGTAACAGAAATGAAAACCTCACCAGGTGGGCTTAGCTGCAGTTGACTCTGCAAAAGAAAAGACCCCAACAGTCACTGTGCAGTACAATAGTGATTATTCAAATTGAAACTCAGTGAGAAAAAAAAAGGCTAAGAAAATAATGAGCAGAGCCTCAATAATCTATAGGTCAATAACAAGCAGTTTTACCTACATGGAATTGAATTCACAAAAGGAGAGGGAAGAGAAAATATTTGAAATATATGAAACATTGCACATTTGGGGTAGAGGTTGTAATGAAGTCACTTACCTCCTTTTTTGTTGTGTCCATTCTTCCTGGACTAATATCACCCCACCCCTCCAGTAGAAAGCATCCTCCTCTACTTATTGTGGATAAACTTGGCCAGACAGTGTAGGAGGTTCTTGCCTTCTTTCCCTGTCTCTTCTGTTCTTTTCTCCTAAATCTTCCTCTCTGACTCACTGGATAATCCCTACTCGACTCCTGTTTTACTACATTTAAGGCCAACATCTGGAATAGCAATGGCAATTGTTGTCACCACCTGACTAAGTTGAAAATAGTCCATAATCCATCGCCAGTTTCCAAAGCTTATCTGTCTTTGGTGCTTGTTAAACTGGAGAATTAGATGGTGATGTGATGGGAATCCTTACCCACACGTTTTTCAAGTCTTTGATGGTGTCCCTCATCGCTGTGACTGTTCTAGCTTCATAGAATGGCTTTGGGTTAATATTTAGGTGAAGAGTAGGAGTTCCTTAGTCTTTCTAACAAGATATCTACTGGTCATAGAACAACTTGAGGATTCTGCCAGTTGCGGAAAATCTCTATTTCTACTACACACATGAGAACTGAGGATTGGGCTAAGAAATGGGTTTGAGGACCCAATGAGCTTAGTTTAACGTGAGCTCAAATCAAAAGTCCACCGTTAAATGACCCCAAGGAAGAAAGTTCCCTGCCTGAATGAGAGCTTATGAAGGCATCTGAATCCCTAGGAATTGAAACAACCTCAGATTCCAGGGCCAATAATATCTGAAACAACATCTAGGTATTTTCCTTCCCCCAGTGCATAATTGCCTAGTAACAAAAGCCAGTCTCTTTGGGGGAAATTTCAGAATATGTACTTTGAATATTTTCACAGAGCCTTTCCTGAAGGCACTTGATTCACGGAGCTGCATCTTGTGAATTGACTACGTGAGGAAAGGGAGTGAGGGGTCAACAATTCTCTATTTTGATATCTCATCTCAGGCATATTTACTGGATAAATTTTCCCCCAATATATACCACAAAGAAGGTTTTTGTGGATGGCCCATCTCGTTCAACACTAGGGATGCTCTAATCAGTGAGTCTTTGCCAATCAGACCCTCTAGTGGGCAAGCTCTTCCTGCTGCCTATCCTGGTTACCTCTCCTTCTTGGAGTTAAGGTTTCACCACCACTGCCCAGCAGGAACAACACCTCTCACTCTTGTTGAAATCAGCCACAGCACCTACCATCAGCATCCTCGGTCTCTAGGAAATTTCCACAAAATTATTTTTCAAAGATGACAAATACCCATCACCATTAAAAAATAAATAAAATCTGGATGAAGGGAAGGGTATGTAGGTCTTTGAAGAGGACAGGATCTCCAGAGTCTTTGGATTCTATTCTACATTCTACCAGTAAGTGCCTGGCATCTCAACCATTCTGAGTCAAAACAAACTAGCAAGGAATTTGAACGGCTCCCAACTGCTTGTACTAACCATTGTGACTAGATTCTCTGGTCAGGGCACCAAAGCTGATACGTTCAGCCTTATGTAAAATGATTTCTGCCTTCCTCCTTCTACCACCTCAGCATTCATTCTCACGTGCATTGAGCCAGAGAGCTGACGCTGCATATCAGGTCGATTATCCACACGATTTCTCTTCTATGTCTTTGCATCGTGATGTGTCAGAACTCCCAGATTCACACAAATATGGAGCTTCAAGTGGCAACCATGCTTGTCCATACCGTTTTATGTATTTTGTCTGGATACCTAAAGACTGATGCTGTAGCCACTGCCAAATACGTGGTCTGGTGCAACATTGATAGCTCCCTCCTTATAGTTCTTAATTAAATATTTGACCCTGTCATTGTAAAACATTTTAGGAGCCATTATTTATTATTATAGAAACAACATAATCACCATTTCTAGGGTTGTTTTTTTTTCATGTTTTCCCCCCAGAGTGAAAAACAGTTTAATCCTGAATTAGATGACTCCAACATTTGAACAGAAGCCAGAATCTATCTGGCCAGCAGAGCACGATTTCAAAGTAATTAGTTCTCCCCTAGTTCTCACTCTTTCGTGTTTCTCCATTTTTCTGAAAATATAAAATCCAATTTTACTTTCAAGACACAAAAGGCAGCATCTTTTGCAGAAGGGTGTTCTTCTTCAAGTGTGTATCACATCACGTTCTTTTTGTGTCCAGTATATGGAACTGCTTGCTGATTTAAGAAAGTACCATGCTGCTTCCTGCTTCCTGACCTCTGAACAGACTGCCTCATCTCTCTGGAGATGGCAGGTGCCTGTTCACCTGTAATAATCACACGGAAGGACATCCCCTGACCACCTCTTAATGGGCAGGCAACATGGAACCCACTCCTTTCTGTAACGCTGTGCTACATTTCAATCATTTTGTATGTATATTTGACCACTCCACGTTGGTGCCTACAAGCTTCTCAAAATAAAGGTATGTAAAACATAGCTTAAATGAAGTGGGAAATGCAGATTAAACAAAATTAAATAGAAAAATGGGGATCACACCTCCTTGAGATTTTAACATTATTGTAATAAAACAATAAAAATATGTAATAAAACATATTTTTTCCCCAGAATTCAAGTAGAGTTTACTAAACTTCTGCTTACTTTCAAATCCTGAGATCCTGCTTCTGAAACAGAATTTAGTGGGACAGAAGTGTATTGATAAGGTTTTATTATGATGCTGGCTATTCTGATGGTTATTCTGTTTGACATAGCCCTGGAACTAAACTTTTTTCTCTTCTCTGCTTAGGGCCACGGGAAGTTAATTTTATCATGGGTTCTCTTGATTGGCTGCTGCCAGTAGGTTTTGGCCAATGGGATCCACTGGTGGGAGATTGCAGGCAGGGGGAGTAGGAGATTCAGGGTGTTTCTTTCTCTTTTCTCTTCCTTCTTTAGGCCACATTTTGGGCAGTGGCTGGATAGTCAGGGACCATGGCTCTAGCCCAGGAACCTGTATCCCTTCACTGGGCTGTTAAAGTCCTCTTTTATTTAAGCCTTTAGGTCAAGGGTAAGAAAGGCTTCTCACTTTGCTAATCTCTGGCTGCTTCAACAAACGTTGTTGGTTCTTCTAATTCTATTCAAACCCTTCATTAACATCTCTTAAACCATATTAGTTCTGTTCTGTTTCCAGCCTTGGCTCTGACTGGTACAGAATGTTTCTCCTCTGCTTACCAGATTGTGGTTCAGTTTAGGCTAATATAAAGGCTAATATAAGCCACCACTT